ACCTTGGGGGCTCCAGCAGGTCCCCCATACTCTCGGGGACCATGTTTAATTGGAGGGATGCACCACCTGTGAACAACCTTTGAGACTGGCTGAAAGTCACCTAGGCAACAATGCGAGGGGGGGCATGTATGGGACAGTGAGCAACAGAGGGACTGTCCAGAGTAGGAGGAATTTTATTTATTTATTTTTTCTTACAAATAGTTTATTGTCAAGTTGGTTTCCATATAACACCCAGTGCTCATCCCCATAAGTGTCCTCCTCCATGCCCAGGCCCCCCTCCGCCCCACATCCATCAGTCTTCAGTTTTTGTCAGCATTCAAAAGTCTCTCATGGTTTGCCTCTTGTTCCTCAGTTAAGTTCCTCCTAATCCTCCTATACGTGCCAACATATGGTAGCTGTCCTCTGCCTGACTTATTTCGCTCAGCATAACACCCTCAAGGTCCATCCATGTTGCTACACATGGCCAGGTTTCATTGTTTCTCATTGCCATGTAGTATTCCATGGTATAGATAAACCACATCTTCTTGATCCATTCATCTGTTGATGGACACTTAGTCTCTTCCCATGATTTGGCTACTGTGGAGAGTGCTGCTATGAACATTGGGGTACATGTGCCCCTATGCATCAGCACTTCTGTATCCCTTGGGTAAATTCCTAGCAGTGCTATTGCTGGGTCATAGGGGAGTTCTAGTGTTAGTTTCCTGAGGAACCTCCACACTGTTTTCCGGAGGGGCTGCACCAGTTTGCATTCCCACCAACAGTGTAGGAGGGTGCCCGTTTCTCCACATCCTCGCCAGCATCTAGAGTTCTCTGATTTGCTCATTTTAGCCACTCTGACTGGCGTGAGGTGGTATCTCAGTGTGGTTTTGATTTGTATTTCCCTGATGAGGAGGGATGCTGAGCATCATTTCATGTGTCTGTTGGCCATCTGGATGTCCTCTTTGGAGAAGTGTCTGTTCATATCTTCTGCCCATTTCTTCACTGGGTTGTTTGTTTTTCAGGTGTGGAGTTTGGTGAGTCAGAGTAGGAGGAATTTTAGACCCAGCTTGCTCTTAGGATTGTCGACCCTTCCTCCAAGTTCCCCTTGGGGTCACCTAAGTCCCCTGGGCTGGAGCTCCACAGAAGACCAGGGGGCACCCTTCACAGAGGCCGTGAGCTGTGCACAGTGCCTCAGGCCTGGGACCTCTGAGCTGCCCCATTAAATATCATCACAAAGCAAAGCAAAGTGTTTCCACAATATACTTTGAGGAACACACTATTTGTGTGATCTTGGACAAGTGACAGAATGTCTCCCAGTGTCAGGTTTCTAAAACAGGATCTTTTGAAGATCAGATAAGGCCTTTTATGCCCAGTGCCATGCTCGAAGCTGTCCTGAAGTCTGAGAAAACACTAGAATCCAAAGGCGTACAGGCCAGGCTGGCATGTGCCAAGAGAGGAATTAAAAATCATAGTTACAGATCTTTCTCTCATTATAAAAGTAATATTTGGTCACTGTCAATTTCCTGAAAAGTATAAACATATAGAGAAAAATAAAAACTCACCTGTTACCTACCGCCCAGCAATAAGCACTTTAACATTAAGGCCTATGTATTTCTTGTTTTTTTTTCTGTGTATTTCTATATTTTATTTCTTTGTCTTATAAAAAATGGATAGGTTCTTATAGGTCTATACTCTGATTTTCACTTAAAATTGTATTATACACACTTATGTAACGAATAATTCTTCCGAAGCGTGATAGTTGCAGTGCAGTGGTCTGTTACACGGAAGCACTGTAATGTAAAAAAAAATAACAGTAACTCTGGTTCATCTTTATTATTATTTTAATGTTTGTTTTTGAGAGAGAGAGGGAGAGAGAGAGAGAAAGCGCAAGTGGGGGAGGGGCAGAGAGAGAGGGAGAAACAGAATCCGAAACAGCTCCAGGCTCTGAGCTGTCTGCATGGAGCCTGAGTCGGGGCTCAAACTCGTGAACCTAGGAACTGAACCGTGAGATGATGACCCAAACCAAAGTCAGATGCTTAACCGACTGAGCCCACCCAGGTGCCCGCACTATTATTTTTTTAATTGAATCGATGGGCCATCAGTGGTTCTGATCAAAGAAGCAAGTGTTGGCAGATTCCCTGGTCGAAGCAAAAAGCCTGCTGTCCTTTGACCGGTGGGGTCCTAGAGATGTGAGCATCTGCTAACGGGAAATATCTGTAGTGCCTGTCACTTTGTAGAAGCTCATCAGCAAGGGGCGTGGACATATGGTGTATTTGGCCCAATCACATGTGGGCACCTGGGAAAACAGAGCAGATGCCCGGGGCGGTAGGTTGGCCCGAAGCAGCAGCACTGCCAGTCCCGGCCTGTCTGAGAACTCAAAAACACTTACATGGCTTGGGGACATTTGTACAAACGAACGACTTTATTGCGAAATCCTTCACTGCTTTCACCTAGAAGCTCGCGGGAAGGGTTGCCTCTAACAGTTGCAGGCCCTGGAGGAAGAAAAGAGTCCCAAGGACAGACTTCAGCCCGTGGCGGCTCCCTTCTCTCTCCTCCTGCGTCCAGCCAGCACCTCATAGGGACCGCAGGTTCTTGGGTGGTCCACGTGTCCAAGTTCTTTCTGAGCTCCCTTCCCCCACAGCCACCTCTTGGACACTGAGGTGTGTACACCCGTGGTGTCCACCTGCGGAAGGTCGAGCAGCTAAGAGGATGGTATGAACCCTGGAAGCTGGTTGGTACCTTTGGTGGACAATTCCGACATCCTCAGTACTCGGAACCTAGTCTGGGAAAGAGGGGCAGTGGACTCTATGTGCAGGCCTAGAAGGGGACCCTTTAAAGTACACGGCCACAGCAGGGGCCCCAGCACCTCGGAGGGCTCATCCCTGTCCCACCTGGCAAGGCCACAGTCTGGAGTCCAGGGAAGCCCGGATTCTGGCTGCGATTAAGGCTCCCACTAGAGTGGGAAGCAATAGACCCAAATTCCCATCCAAAGGCAGAGGATACTTGTTTGGCCCAAACTTCCATCCAGAGGCAGAGGACACTTGTTTGGTCTCAGCCCAAGAGAGGGAGGTGGGGAAATGCAAGTTGACAAGTGACACTTCTCTAGGAGAACCCTCTCTGGGAGTAAAATGGTTTTTTTTTCTTTTTTCTTATTTTTAATTTATTTTTGAAAGACAGAGAGAGACAGAGTGAGCAGGAGAGGGTCAGAGAGAGAGGGAGACACAGGATTGGAAACAGGCTCCAGGCTCTGAGCTGGCTGTTAGCACAGAGCCCTACACGGGGCTCGAACCCACAAACCGTGAAGTCATGACCTGAGTTGAAGTCGGACACTTAACCAACTGAGCCACCCAGGCGCCCCTCCTCTCTGGGAGTTAGACTCAGTTACTTTAAGTCAGACATTTTCAAGTTGGCTTTTTCTTTCTTCTTCTCTTTAAATATTTATTTTTGAGGGGGAGGAGGGGCAGAGAGCGAAGGAGACACAATCCAAAGCAGGTTCCAGGCTCTGAGCTGTCGCTATAGAGTCCGATGGGGAGCTTGAACTCATGAACTGTAAGATCATGACCTGAGCCTAAATCGGAGGTTTAACTGCTGAGCCACCCAGGTGCCTGCCCCTCCTTTCTTTCTTTCTTTTTTTTTTTAATGTTTTTTTTTTTATTTCTAATTTCTAGGAGAGAGAGAGAGAGAGAGAGAGAGAGAGACAGTGTGAGCAGGGGAGGGTCAGAGAAAGAGGGAGACACAGAATTTGAAGCAGGCTCCAGGCTCTGAGCTGGCAGTCAGCACAGAGCCCGATGCGGGGCTCGAACCCACGAACTGCGAGACCATGACCTAAGCGAACGTCGGACGCTTAACCGACTAAGCCACCCAGGCGCCCCCTTTCTTCTGTGTTTTAAGAGAAAATTCTTTAGCAAAACTCACAGGAGTTGGGAAGTAACAGGAAGAAAATATGGGGCCCGAGGTACATGACATCACTGACTTTGGCCCTCTGAGTACCTATGCTGTGGACGTTTGAAGTCTTCTCAGTGGGCCACTCTTGAGAAACTATGATAATTAGGTTTACTTATTTATTTTAAAAAATGTGTTTTAACTACTTTGAATTTTTTTAATTATAATTTTTCAGTGTTTTTTTTTTTTAATTTTGTAATGATTTAGGAAAATGGCCAAAACTGAAAATAGTTCTAGAAATTTCTATGTTCAGGATTAAGTCTGAGGCTCACTGATGGATGAGTAATGCTTTTGAGATTTGTTTGTTCCCGTAGTTTTGTGAATGATGGGGTTCTGACATGCGGACTTGGGTCTTGCCATTTTTAACAAAGTTGATGCTCTGATCGCTACTGGATACTGGCATTTCCTAAGGTATTAACAGATACTGTGATTTCAACCACTGTCGCTTCTGTGAGTACTTCCTGCTCTTGGTAAACTACAGTTGCGGGAGAAAGGCCACCTAGGAAAATGGAGAGAAGCACAGGGCGGGTGCCTTACATTTGTGAAGAGGGCAGGAAACGAGTGTGGGACTTGAAGGGCTGTGACAAATGTGTGGCCTTTTAGACCAAAGGGGTTAAATTTCAGTCCAAAGGGAGTGACTGTCACTGGGGCTCCCAGGGCCTGGGAGATTTTATAAGCTGAGCCGGTGGGTGAGGGGTGTGCGTGGGGGGCAATGGAGTTGGTATCTGAGAGCTTGTTAAGTTCCAGTTTAGTCAAGAAAATCCTCTATTTCAAAGTCCAGGGCAGAAAAGAAGCTTCCAGAGTGCCAGGACTGCCTTCCTCTGCTGCAACAGTGCCTTTGGCATCTACCCAGCACCAAGCACACTTAAGATATTTGCGGGAATGATGAAAAGGCAGCAGGAGCCTCTGGCGTGTGACCCAAGTACAGGGGAGGGCAGAATGGTGAGCGGGCGCAGTGAACACTGGTCGCCACAGGGGCACAGGGACTGCAAGAGCCGCTTTGCTCCAGTTCATCCCCCCACCGTGATCCTGCCGACACAGGGCACGGTGGCCAACGTCACTGTCAACACCACAACACACTCACTTAGCTCCTGTTTAATTCTAGGCCAGATATCGAACATTTATACAATTTTTTATACAAGTGCATGCTAAGTTACAAATATAGAAAATATAAAGTACATGCATATTTCAAAGATCCACCGTGGATCTTCATACAAAACTATTCAGTGCACATGTAAGCCTGAGGACCACGCAAAAGGGTTTTCTACGTATTAAATACTTAGTACCTTACAAAAACAGGTAGTGCAATCGATCAGATAGATGTTAACTTCTCTAACCCAAATTTCTAAGTTTGTCATACACAATATACATAATAAATTTTTTTTTACATCAAATACCCGCACAGTGCAAGCCAGTAACATTGTAGGATGGTAATTTATCAGCTAGGTGACAATAATGAATGATCTAGACAATAATTTACCGTAAATAACAGTAACAGAATTCCTTTTTTCCACTCTGAATGGATATTACTGTCATCTGCCACCTAAGGTATTTTTGGGGGATGGCCTTCCATCCTTTGATTCCAAAGCTGGTTATAGAAACTAGAACTAATTTCTAGTTTCTGACATAATTCTGGCTTTTGACAAGTATGAGACACCAATGGAGAAATGCAAGCACTTCTTTTGTCTACTCATTTTCTTCATTACGTAATGCTCTGGGAGAAAACGGAATTTTCAAGCTGCACCTTCCTCTATGTCATCATTGTTCTGGTTCCCAAGTAAATGAACAAAGATTTGCCCTCAGTGTCCAGAAAGCGGTTCAATTTTTTACTGCCCTAATTCTCTATAGTTTACGTTATGAAAGAAAGGATGCCATGAGTGGGTGCTTTAAACGTCCAATATGGGAGCTCGCCTCCAAGGGCGCTTTTCCCAAGTGTTGGGTTTTTTTAGTATTTTCGTATTGTTGGTTAGGTTCATTCCCTGTGAAACCCTCCTCTGCCGAGGCCTGGTGCTGCTTGATACAATAGCTGCTGTGTAGCCCACGCTGCAAGATGCAAGATGCTGCCCCAGTTCTGTGCAGGCAGACACAGGGCACACGCTCTCTGGCGCACTGGGCCGGGGCCCAGGAGCTAAGTAAGGATCTCTGGTTTTGTTTTTTGAATGAGTATCATGTGGCCTCCTTCCAAATTTGGCAGAGATGCTCTTGGAACAGGGAAATGCAGTCAGGTTCTCTTAAAATGGGTAACAAAAATGTCCCCTATGAAATCACTGCTAAGATAGGGCATTAGACTACCAAGCTCCAGCTGGGGAAGGAGCCGGAGGTATTTAGGCGAAGGTATTTGATGGCGTTTTTGAGAACTGTTTTAGCCTCAATCTGCTGCACTAGAACCCCCCCCCCCCTAAAAAAAGCCCTAGATCAACCAATGATTATTATTTCTTGTTATTCCCAGCCCAGCACCAGCACCGGCCCATGAGGGGCTCCATCGCACCGGCTCGAATAAATAGCATCCTGGGTCTGCTCTACACTTCCGGGGGCCATCAGTGCCAAGGGGATTAGCCTATGGGTGACAGAGAGAAGCAGGAATGAGACACCACCACTAAAGGGCTATAGGTAGACACCCCCTCCCCCAACCTGTAAAAGAGGAAGAAGACAGAGAAGGCCGGAAGGCCCTCCTCAACCCACGATGAGGAGGACGAGGAGCGAGATGAGGAGGATGACGGGAGGCGGGGAGAGGAGGAAGGCGCTGGCCCCTCTTTGGTAGTAGGCCTCCGACTCTCTCTGGTACTGGGTGACGCACATCTGCTCCACTACGCGTTCCATTATCTTCATGTCGGTCTCCGTGAAGTTTTCCCCCTTGGTGGTGGTGGTGACCGTGTGCTGTCTGACCGTGATGTTGACGCAGTCGTGCACGAAGTTGTTCTGGCTGCTGTACTGATCCACTGGCTTGTAGTACACTTGGTTGGGGTAGCGGTCCATGTTTTGGCGGTAGTAGCGGTCCTCGTAGTCATTGCCAAAATGAATGAGGGGCCTGCTCATGGCGCTCCCCAGCATGTAGCCGCCGAGGCCCCCCACTACCGCCCCCGCCGCCGCGGCTCCGGCCATGTGCTTCATGTTGGTTTTCGGCTTACTGGGTTTGCCCCACTGACTGTGGGTGCCACCACCTTGACCCCAGCCACCTCCACCATGGGGCTGTCCCCAGCCGCCCCCATGGGGCTGACCCCAGCCGCCCCCGTGGGGCTGTCCCCAGCCGCCCCCGTGGGGCTGACCCCAGCTGCCCCCGCCCTGGGGTGGGTAGCGGTTGCCCCCGGGACTGCCCTGCCCTGGGTACCGGCTTCCCCCAGTGTTCCATCCTCCGCCGGGCTTTGGCCGCTTCTTGCAGAGGCCCACGTCACTCCACGTGGCCACAAACAGAACCAGGATCCAGCCGCCTATGTGGCCTTTCACCATGATGATTTATCTGCAAAATGAGAAGGGCGTCAGCGTCCCACGTTCCTGTCGGGTGCACAGGTGCTTGCTGCGCGATGCATGCGGCAGAGCAAGAGCGACTGCACGTTGCGCACAGAGGCTCTCCACTCCTCCTCTCCTCTGTGGCACTTATGACAAAAGTAATGTCAAAGAAAGCGTTAACACAGCTTTCTCCTTCTCCGAGGACAAATTTGTCCCTAAGATAATTTCTGGCTCTGTTTCCTGGAAACCTGATAAAGATGGAATGTTAGCAGTGCTGCTTATGGTAAAAATAACCTCTGATTGATAAAGTGCATCTGGTGAGTCTACCATAGCTTTGAGCATCCTAAGAGCAGTGACTACTGTAACCAGGCATGTCCCTTTGGGGACCCTGGAAGCAGTGCCTCTTTTCAGCTGTCACAAGGGACACTGGCTCCTGCGAGGTCTGGGGCTTCTACGCGAAGGGGAATTCTTTACCCGTCAAGGTGGGCCTCACTCCCTTGTTCCCAAGCAGTCACTTGTGGGGGCTGGGAGTGGAGGCAAGTCCCTGGCCGCTGTGTGGACTGCTATGAGGATCCTGGTGTGTCCCCTTCTGGAACCCTCTGAGAACTTGGTGTGACCCCTATGGAAGTCCTGTGAGTGAGGGAGACTCCCAGTTACGCTTTGCACTAATAACTTTGAAAATCGCTGTTTCCCGTCTTCTTTCATCTGTGGGAACGAATGTCAGCAGGGAGTGAGTCCAGTTTGCTACCCTCTCCTCGGGGGTGAGGGCAGCACCTGGCACCTTCTATAAAAAGAGCTGCTCAAAGCAGGGCAAAAATGGCCGTGTCCATAAAATTTGTGGACACTCAGTCACTGAATGAGTTTTAGTTCAGCATTGAACAGCTTATGAGTGACTTATTTTCTCCTAATTTTTGGTACAAAAGAAGCCTGTCTCACATAAAAGGACCAGCACAGTTTAGGACTAAACAAACCAAGTATGCTGGATAGTGATTTATGAGCCCTCTGCAGAATAAACGTTCATCCAACTAAAAATCTCCTTTCAGATTAAATATCTCATTTCCCCCGGGTGCTCAGTTCCAAGGGTGGAGAGCAAAGACACACAGACATGCAGAGGAAGGAGAATGAAGCAGTAAGTAAATGAATTCACATCTTGTTTATGCTTCTACTATCGTTACTGAAGATCTTGGTGGCCAGAAGTGAAGAGAAATACATTTGAAAGTCACAAGCCAAGTTCAACTGCTCAGATCATGCCAGATGGAATTTCTGGAGGCTCTTCTGGGTAGGGCCAGGGAGGCAGGGGCCTGAGACATGCCGGCTGGCCTTCTTGTGGCCTCAGCAAGCGTCCCTGGTGCCCAGTCTTCTCCAGGCCTGCTCCCCTGGGGTATTCTCCACTTGCCCACGGGCTCTAGCTCTCAGCCTCTGTGCCGCCCACACTTCTGTTCACACACCGCAGGGAACCGAACTAAGGGAGTGTTGCCCCAGTCAACAGCTCCCGATTTAATGGAGTTTTATGCCAACAACTACTTTATTCACCCCATGAGCCAAACCCAGCCAACACCCTGGAGTTACTCTTGAATTTCCTCTTTCTCACGGGACACAATGAATCTACCAGCAAATCTTATCAGCTCTATCTTGAAAATAAATCCTAAATCCCTAAACCATTCACATTTCCCAACATGACTTACTATCTCCTGGTCGGGGTCTTTCAACAGCCTCCAACCAGCCTCCCCGCCCCCAGCTGTGTGTTCTCTACTCAGCAGCCCAGAGGCTCACACAACTTTTTCTTTTCTTTTCTTTTCTTTTCTTTTTTTTTTAATGTTTTTTATTTATTTCTAGGAGAGAGAGAGAGAGACAGCGTGAGCAGGGGAGGGTCAGAGAGAGAGGGAGTCACAGACTGAAACAGGCTCCAGGCTCCGAGCTGGCAGTCAGCACAGAGCCCGACGCGAGGCTCGAACCCACGAACCGCGAGATCACGACCCAAGCGAAAGTCGGACGCTTAACCGACTAAGCCACCCAGGCGCCCCTCACACAACCTTTTCTAATGTAGCTCACACCATGCCTCTTCCCTTCCCCCTCAGGGAGTACTCCTTCATGCTCAGGGTAAGATCGCAAGTCCTGACCATGCCAGCTGAGCCCCACATGGCCTGCCTCCGGCTGCCTGCCCTTCCAGCCTCCTCCTGCTCCCTAAACTCGATAAGCACTTTCCCATCTTGGGGCCTTTACACTTGCTGCTCCTGGGGCCTGGAAGGTTCTCTCTCCAGTTATTCATATGGCTCAAGTCTGCTCTAATGTCACCTCTGCAGGGCTGAGCTACTCTACCTAAGTCAGCACCCGCATCCTATCCCCTTATCCTGATTCTTTTTTTTTTTTTTTTGACAGAGAGCGAGAGAGCGTGCACACAGGAGAGGGGCAGAGGGAGGGAGAGAGAGGGGGAGACAAAGAACCTCAAGCAGGCTCTATACTCAGCAAGTAGCCCAACGTGGGGCTCAATTCCATGACTGTGAGATCATGACCTGAACCAAAATCATGAGTCAGACCCTCAAATGACTGAGGCACCCAGGCGCCCCTCCTGCTTCATTTTTCTCCAGAGCAGGGATGCCTACTTGATGTCTAAGATTATTTGCTTCCTGTTCACCTTCTCCACGGGAGTGCAGGCCACCCCAGGGCAGGAGTTTTTTTTGTTCACAAATGGGCCCCTAGTGCCTAAATGCAGTGCCTGGCGTACACAATAAATGCTGAATGAAGGAAAGAGTGTGGACACATCTGTTATAAAGCGTAAGAAATAACCAAACTAAAAATTAAATTGTTGCAAGAGTGAACCATGTTTATGCATTTTCAGAACACTCTTTTCTGCAATGGCGAGCTGTCTGACATCTACGATCCACTTACATAAATGTTGACCTCACGCGCCATTCACCACGGTAGACTCCGGCTGGATGGCGATGTTAGCTATAATGGTCGCGGCAGGAGGAAGAACAGGTAGCAAGGGGGGTAACACGGAGACTGGCTTTGAACGTGTCCTGTCCACGACTGTAAGAGTCACAGCTCTATGTGAGCAGACAGTGACACCACATAGAAAAGGAGACATGGAGAGGGACTCGTCCTCTGGAGGCCGGGCATGGGAGGTGGAAGGGGGCACAGAGCAGAGTGGAGACAGGCAGTGAGAGAGAGTTTCAGCAGGACTGGGGGCCGCAGGTGGCTTCATGGAAGTGGGGCCTTCATGTGCTGTAGAGGGGCAGGTGGGGTCAGGCCAGAAAGGGCCTCATCAGCAAGGGGAGTAGACATCCCCGACTTCCCTGGGACAGTTTACACTCGTTGTTTCTGGTGCTAATATTAAGAGAATCCCCTTCATTCTCAAGAGTGTCCCAGTATGTTAACATAGGCAGCCTAATTATAGGCATATTAGGTTGTCTGAACTTGATTCTGGAAGTCCTAGGGAGCCAGTGAAGAGTTCTGGGTTCTCCCTGCGAAAGAATATTGTAGAGAATGGACTAGGGTCTGTGTGTGTGTGTGTGTGTGTGTGTGTGTGTGTGTGTGTGTGAGAGAGAGAGAGAGAGAGAGAGAGAGAGAGAGAGAGAGAGAGAGCGTGTACACAGGGAAACTAGTTTCAAGGCTATTGCAGTGACGGAGGTAAAAGATGGCGGTCTTGCCAGGGAAGGAGATGGTCTCCTTCCATGGATGGTCTGAGTTAGCGGGCAGCTTCTGGAGGACTTGGTGTTGAATGTGAAGGATGAGAGCCTGGAAGAGTCAAAGTGGCACCCGGGTTTCCGGACTGCACCACTGCATGGCCAGAACACAGAAATGTGGAGCAGGTCTCGCGGGAGGAAAATGAGGGACTTGGACTTCGCAACGCTCTTACCAAGCTGTGTGGGCCACAGGCACGTGCTGCAGCTCAGTGCTTTATTAAAGGCAAATACTTTACACTACGCTAATCACAGAGTATCTGAGGACAAGATCATTTTGAGATCAGGACCAGTTGAGAACAATGAAAGCACCATTTGGTTATGAAAAGTTATTAAAAATAGCAGTACAGTTTGAAGTATCGAACCATTTCTAAAGCGAAGTGGGACTCAAAATTTACAGGAGACCTTGGAGAGTCTCTTTCTGTTTGTGATAAAATTGAGAAGATCTTCTATTTAATCTAGTGGTTTAATGCAAACCACTCACTTGACAAATGATGCTACCAACATTCAGAGAAGTTAGGGGACAATAGCCATGATGACAGTGCCAGTTGGTGAACTTGCTGGGGACGGAGACTGGGATTCTGAGTCCCTGGCTGGGCTAGGACACTATTTCTATAAGATACTCTCTCTGTGAATGGGCAGGTTGTGGCCCAGTCCTTGGTACATTTCAAGACATTAAGTATTTGTCAAAGGTCAATTGCTCTTTATCGCTTAAAAAAAAAATACTCTCAGCAGACTAGGAATAGGAGAAAACTCCCCTAACCTGATAAATGTTACATAACAAAGCCAGTAAACACACTTAGTGGATAGCCTCTGAAGGCATTTCTGTCAAGATCAGAAATAAGACAAGGATGTCCATCATCACAGTACTGAGGGTCCTGTTCAATGCCACGTGCAGAGACAAAGAAGCAGTAGGGGCAAGAAATGTGAGGAGAGCTAGCTGTCAATTATCTGCAATCAAGGCAATCACACAACAGAAAACCCAACAGACTCATCAGAAATGACACAAGACCTAGTAATAGAGTTCAGCAAGGCTGTGGGATACAAGACTGGCCTACAAAAATCTCTACACCAGTAATGGTCGACTAGAAAAAAAAATTAAGAAATAAGAAAATCATAATATAGCAAAACCAAACTGTAAAATATCCAGGAACAGACTTCACTGAGAAAAAATAAGACTGGGGAAACAATTTTTTTTAACTCCAATAAAGAACACTGAAGATGACCTGTAAAAATGGAAAGGTATTCATGGCTTTGACTGGGATGACCTTGTATTAGAAAGATGTCTGTCAATGACCCCTAAGTGAACCTATAATTTCAACCAAGT